ATTTTGATTTCTACATGCGACATCTCTCAAAAACACTTTTGGAGCCAGAAGATAGAAAACCTGTCTGGCAGACAAGTTTGGACCTTATAAAGAAGACAATATTCCTGGCTGCCAGTTTAAAAAACTGGCTGGCAGACCAAAAAATAAACTTACCAAATTGACTTCTGGGAGCTCAGAATCCAAAATCTTGGCCGCCAGCCAGGTTTTTTGTCTTCCTGGGTCCTGGAAGCTTAGGGTAGTGGTTGATCAACTTTGCGGAGCATAGGCCACTTGTAAAACCTGATTTGCTTGAAACGAGTCCGAGTCGTAGTTAAGAACGAAACGGGCCAAACGTAGTTGAGGTTTAATAGTGTATATACAGGAGTACATCCCTCCGTGTTGACATGTTGCGTCTTGTGTAATGATGTAGCTAGCTGAAAATGCTGAAAACATTCATTCTGACTTCATTGACTTTCGGCTCACTGAGTGCTTGACCTGTGGGTCACGCACTCAACAGGTTAAAGGCCTCAGTGCGTATCCTTTCGCACACCTGTTTGGACTTCGATAGAGCAGTCGAACCCTTGCCTTGTGCGAACAGCGCCTTCGTTTGTTACCTCAGGTCTTCGACCCGAGCGCCTTCCCTAAAAGGGGAAGAGAAAGGGTGGGGGGAGGAAGGGAGACTAAGCTCTCGACAGGTTCCAATGAACCTCAAAAATGCTTCGGTCGCTCTGGCCACGTTGAGGCGTTAAGCCGGCTTAGACCGCTGCGGTCACGTAAAGGCATGAGCCAGCTTGGAATTCAATACATCACCAAGTCTTGGCAAATAACTTTGGCATAAGCCTACTCCGCCCGCTTTGGGCGCGTGCATCTCCGGGCACGGGAGATAAAGACAAACGCCCGTTCGACGGGTCCACAGGGGGCACTCCTCGGGCTCACGCTGGACTCTCACTGGGAGAGACACACTTATATGATTTTGCATACTGACTTGACAGCGGTGCCACACGCCAGCCTAAGTAAACCGCCTAAGGTTCCGGGGAGGAAGTTAGAGTCAGAGGCCTCCAAAACCTATAAAACGAAAACGAGCGGCGGCGACAGGGTGACGACCGATCGCGCAGGTCTGCGAAGCTCAAAGGCCCAAAGATCCAAAGAGAATCACCACTGCATCTTTACTGAAGGAAGCAACGAAGTAGACAGCTTGTGCTCTACGTAGGTTTCTCTCCAAGCAGGTACGTCAATCCGGCGTCCCGGATTGATTTCACCAGCACACATCCAGTGTCTTCGTTGGTGCAAGACTGGATGGGCTGCTTGGACCCTCTGCTTAACAAAAAAGAACACAATCCGAGTGGATCCCTGTGACTACAAGGGGCACACACACACACGTGTGCCCCAATCGAAGGAAGAGCTGGTGCTGGCTGATTGGTTGGACGACAACCAGGTCCTTGCGGTCAAGGTGATGTGCAGCGCAACCCTCAGCGCAAACCTCATGCGCTCTGATGTCAAAGCAAAGGCCAAGTGGAAGAGCGAGACGGATTGCGAACCTATCACGGCCCGCGATTTTGCCAAACACCATTACATCAAGTGCCTCCTTGGATACGCGAATTCAGCGTCAGACGGCGCGTATCTCAATGTGCGGGCATGCCTTTTAGAGAACCATATAGGACACTTCAGCGATTGCCCATTTTCACCAGACGTCAACTTTTGAGGTGCGCGCAGCCACCAGAAAAGGACGCACCATTTTCACCAGACGTCAACTATCAAAGTGCGCGCTGCCACCAGAAAAGGACGCGCCATTTTCACCAGACGTCAACTTTTGAGGTGCGCGCAGCCACCAGAAAAGGACACGCCATTTTCACCAGACGTCAACTTTTGAGGTGCGCACAGCCACCAGAAAAGGACGCACCATTTTCTGCGCGTGATCGAGGTGGATGCGGCATCGCCCGATTTAGTTACCAACGCCTCGACCCAGAATCTTGCCGCCACGCTGGTTTTGTTCGAAGATGTTGGAAACAAGAGGTTTCCGAAAATGTTGGAAGTTGGCTGTTCCTTTTCTTTGGGGTCATACCTTAAATAGATTTCCGGCGTCGTTCAAAGGTGTTCCCTGGCAAATTCCTTGTGCGTTGAAGTTCTCCGCATCCCCATAGCGTGGAGTATGTATAGTTGCCGTGGCAATCCGTGGCATGTACTACCGTGGCATGTGCTTGACGGACTTAACGCAATCCCAGTGTAAGAATTGGACTGCATTAGTTTGGCCAATTGAGAAAGTGCAGGTGTTTCCCGTTGGGTGAGGGTTTTTCGTCTCCTTCGGAGTCTAGACTGATGATGCACGTCGGTGATGGATCGTTAAGTTTTTCACGGTCTGAAATTGGATGTGTTTGCTTCCTCGTAACAGGCTACTGCTCCAGTGAAACATCGAAACAGACTGACCCAAAACAGATGCTGTCAGCACTTTCACCCCTTCAGGATCGAAACACTTTCGTGAAAGTTCCTCTACAAACTAGTGGGCCTTGAGGCCACTATAGATCTATCATTGGTCCACCTCTTTTTACTTTCCGCATCATTTTGTAGACTGTGTTTTTAATGTTCGACTCAACCCACACCAGCCATTTTGTAGACAAACATGATGTCAAGGTCCAGCATGTTGTAGTAATTTTTTCAGAATTTAACATGGCATTTTGTAAGAACAACATTGATGGTCTCATGTTGTAGAGATTTTTGGGCTACCTGAGTCGAGTCTTCCACTGCATTTTGTAGAGAATTTTCCGGTGGCAGGACTCTCCTTATTTTCTGTCAAACGCGTTGCATCCGTTGTACATTGCCATGTAGGATCTTCGGCCAATGAATCCGAGCGCGAGATGGCCCGCCCATCATAGCGCTGCCGGTGCTCGGTGGTTGCCGAGGTGGAGGCGATCAGGGCGCGGCAAAGACGTCAAAGGGACACAGGACAGCCTCCACCAGGGCCCCCTGTTTGGGGTGTCTAATTATAGCTCCTTAGAGGTCAAGGGGTATCCACAAACCACCCCAAACAGGGGGCCCTGGTATTCGTTTCAATATGTTGAAATAAACATGTCGAGATAAAACATGCCTGTTACTGTTATTTCTCAAACAGTGTAATGTGCTATGAACTGTGGGGGCATATTGACACCACTCTTCCGTACTTTTCCTGCTGTGTTGGAATGATTTAATTTTGAATCCGCCAAGCTGTGGTATATTATATTCATTTGATCTTTGATCATTGAAGCCAAGCGGCGATTGCAGGTGGCATTGCAGCTTTGTACCCGAGGAAGTGCCTCGAAAGAAAGTGCAGCCACATACCTCGCCACATACGTGTGGTTTTTTTCAACATCACATGTCTTGGTGGAATTCCAGGTGGGTGCCACCCTGTCTACAGGGAGGACACCTCCCGGACTGTTCGGTGGACGACGGGGACCGTGGTCCGCCGGTCCGTACCGAGGCCTTTCATCGCTCCGGAAGGTCCGCCAGGACGGAGTGAGCCCGGCGACCGAGCCCCCGGCGACCGAGCCTTCGCTGTTTGGACGATCGGTGCGTAGTTCGTAGTTCCATGTTCAAGCAGTGTGCAGTTTGGACGCACAGGTTTGAGGGTAGAAGGCATGTTATATTTTACAGTGTTACAGTACGATACGTTTGCATGTTTAAAACTTATGGTTTGGTTTGAGGTAACGCAAGGACTGTTGTTAGTGGAATTAATCCCAAACCAAATCTTGCTTGGCCACAAGTGAAGGCCATAAAGCACCCCGGAGCAGTTCAATCGGACGTGTTTGTTTTTTCTTGTGGGTGAGTCAAGGTCCTGACCAACACCTGAAATGGTTCATGAAACGTCAAGAGAGGAAACGTTCATGCTGCCCCGACAGTTGAAAAAAAGAACTATATATAGTTGCCATATATTATATATAATTGACCCCCTCAAGGCTTTCTGCTCAAATTACACATGGTGGTATACACGGGGCTTTGTACTTGGAGCCAAGAGTGTTGAGCGGGCCTTGACGGTTGATTGAGTTGAATTGAATACACATAAATCACATAAATACCAGCATAGACCCTTCAAGGCTCCTGGCTCGAATTTCAAGCGGTGGTATCACAGGGCTTGGGTCTTGGAGCCAGGAGCTTCGAGCAGGGTACAGTAGTATCACTCGAAACATTTGTGGAGTTGTATTTTGTGTTAACGTTCGTTCAAGGCTTATAATGGAAAACATAGACAGTGACTTGTTCATCCAAGCTGACATTCTGGAACCAGTCGTCAATCGACAGGACGGTATTTTCCTTGGTCCTCCTTCGGTGCAGTGGGCGCGCCACTCGACGAAAGGGCCGCCACTCAGCCAGCAGTGCTAGAAGTAGTGTGGACCCTGATGCAAGTGTATTCTGGTACATTCGCATCCCTCAACTTGACAAGACGTAATTGGTTTTAGGTTCACAAAAATTGCCAGACAAACCTCTATGACCCTTCCAGGTGTCTCTGTACGTGGATAGGGCCTCTCTTCGTGGTAGGTCAGTGGTTTGACTGTGGTGTGCTGACATAGCATGAGTGCTTACACATGCTTACACATTAACTAAAGATTAATCATCGAATACTCAGGACCACAGGAAGCCCGTTGTAGTTCTACCCGATTGTTCAGAGGAAGCTGCGGAAGCAAAGAAAAAACATCTCCCAGCCTGCCATTTAATTTAAAGGATTAATGAATATACACATGCTTGAACATGCATCAACTGACACTGCTCATAGGAAGGGTCTTCAACGGGGGGTCTGTACTGTAATGGGGTGTGTTGGCAATCTTTAGCGTGTGTTTCTGGGCCAACATTAGAATTTTAAAGAGGCCCGCTGCCCGTTGGAAAGAGGCCTAGTCTCACTTTAATAATACCACGAGGGTCAAGGGCGAACTTGTATTTGGCATTATTTGGCAATTGAAATCCAGCCTCATGTGCTTTGGGTTTGTTCCAGGTCCAAGCATGGATCAAAGAAGGCAGTAACTCAGTAATAGCTGAAAGGTGTTGTTTATTTTGTTGATCCCTTTGTTTGGAATTGTATGGAATAGGGAATGTTGGGAGGATGAGGGACGGAATGTCATCGAGAGTCCCGCAAGCAGGGGGCATATCCTGGACGTCGTTTTGAACAAAAGGTTGCTTTGCCACAAGAATTTCGCCCCTAGTTTTGGCTTCACCCCGGCAAAGTGCATGGCTTGAAAGCCTTGCTTTCTTCCAGAAACTCAGTTGAACGAGTAATAATCAAGCACTGAAAGGGCTCGCGATGATGATTCCCCCCTGCCCCGCCTCCTTGCTGTTTCCATTGGTCCATTTCTTATCGGCTCAATTCACTTTCATGTATGTTCGTGCAGGTGTTTGTTCAGGTGTTTTTCTGGTCCTTGTCTCCCTCAACAAAAGCGAACATATCGTTATTTAACAAACACACACACACACACAGCTCTATAGCTAAACACGGCTATATGTTTGTGTTATAAAAAGAAGCAGTTTGTTCACTATAGAGCAGTTACTAAAGGAAACCACCGCTCTTTGGAGACGTTCCAGGTCATGAGGCGCTTCACCCCTTGGAAGCGCTGGAACTTGCTTCCCTTCGGCCACGGCGCTGCAGCTGTGGCGCTCGCTTGCCGAGGAGGCCGGTGTCACCGGGAGTTTGCGTCAAACCAGGTCCAGGTGTTTTTTGGAGGGTAAGACATGACAAGCACGAGGAAATGCAACACCGCAATAGATTTTGCAAAAACACAGACAAATATACAGAAGTGGTCATGACTGACGAGGGTCAGAGACTTACAGGATCTTACAGGTTTGATGATGCGGCACTTTCACCAGACACGTACTGTACTTGATCTGCAGCCTTCAAGGCTTTGGTCGCATCAGCAAGGCTGTGAGGTCGCCTTGGTCACGTCGGTATGTCACTTACCAGTGGAGTGGGTCGCCGTGGGCGTCAGGCCCAAGTTCCTCTCGCTGATCGACGTCTATCGGCCTTGGGGCAACGTTGCCAAACACGTCGAGGGCGGCCCGGCGGCGGCTTGGATGGGGCGTCAAAAGGGGATGTGCCGGCATTATCTAAACATTCAGTGAAGTGAAGTAGCAAATCAAACAGATGCCCAATACACGTCATTGCACAGGTTTGACCGAAGTGGTCGTGCATTTTCAGGGAACACTGGCAGTTCAACTGTTTGTCCAGGTATGAATCATGAGCACCTAGGACTACATAGCACTTTTGGGGATAGAACCCCCAGAATCGGAGTCCTCGACGTTGTCATGAGCGATCGGACCTGACGAACGGGGCGCAACTGGCCTTACTACTAGGAGCAATCGGACGTTACTCGGGCATCGTAGTCCTCATATGTCTTTGCAGAACTCTTGGGGTACTACATGATGCCTTCAGCCAAGCGAGATGGATCCTGACACACCTTCTTGGCGTGGGGGATCCGCCAAGGAGACAGGCAGCGGCTTGGTCTTGCGCTTTTTGCAGGCCAAGCCCCAGGTCTGGGCTGCACTTTTGAGGCGCTTTCACGAGTTTGGGTGTCATGGGATCTTTCCAGGTGTAGGAGCCAAAGCACAGGAGAACAGGGTCGAATCATAGAAGAACATGCAGGGCAGTCTAGTCTCTGACTGGTTTGTCATGGTTTTTTTTCTATGTTTTTCTTTGACTCTTGACACTGTAAGATTGTGATAGATTGTGTAAAAGAAGGGGCCGGGTTCCGGTGGACATGTTTGCCAGGAGAGTCAGGACTTCGTAAAGGCATTGATATGCATTGTATCACTCGCCAGAAAACAACCCCACTGATTGAGACCTCAATTAGCAACTAGCAACTACTTGTTCCAGGATGTTTCCAGGTCTCAGGACGTGTCATTAAAACCAGACATGCTGTGCTGTTCGAAAACAGGCATGATCGAAACGGATGTTCAGTCAACCTGTGGAGCGCGGTTGGCTTCGCTGAAGATACTATCAGACTAAACATCTGAACGAGGTGTGAAGGTGCCATTCGAAGATGTTGCAACAGGAACCGCCCCTTGCCAGGCCCGAGTATCACACCTGGCACTCGCATACGAAGAAATTCCACAAGGAGACTCGCGAGGCCACGATGGATCCCACATTGTTTCACGAACTCAGTCGTGGCGATCTGTGCAGGTTGTCCAAAACCCGCCACACAGACCCTCCCCTTTTTGGCCAGGACCGGGTTCATTCAGGGTCGTAGCCGGGGCTTTCGAAGGTCGCAGAATGGGCACAAGACAGTTGTTTTTCACCTTTTGTGCGTTTTTCTGGTCGGAATGGATCTTGGTGTTGGTCTGATGGGAGGGCCTCAGAAGATGCCCATGTTTTTATGTAACTATTCTTATTTTGCCACAAGATTAAGATTTATGAGTGAAGCTTGATGTATTCGAAGGCTTCCTTTGGCGATTCTATTTCCAGTTAAATCCGTGCTTTGCCCATCGCTTCACCTCACGCAGCATGAACATTTTCAACACATCCCATATCATCCCATCAACATGTCCCAAATACATCCCCCAAACCTCACAATTTCTCATACATCATGTTCAATTCCTCATTCCAGAAAGTCAGAAAAAGACATCACATTCCATCCCTGCACTGATACACCTCATCCCATTTATTCCATCTCTTACGGCCTCCAGGAGCTCTCTGAGTCCTTGGCCACGCTCGCGGAGCCGACGGTGACCACTGCGGGCCATGTGGTGGACCTTTGCTGTGGGAAGTCGGGCGCCGCAGCGGGTGAGCCGACGGTGACCACCGCGGTGGGTCCAGGCGAGCGAAGCGCGAAGAGCAGCGCGACCAGGTCGGGAGAAGATGGTTGGTTTGAGAAGGCTGAATGGAGTGACGAGCCGAAGGGAGATATTACTGAATATAATATAGTATAGTTATATACTAGCATTTAATGAACTCTTATTGATATTTTTAAAATGTGTTTACATTGTGTTTGTTGGATGTGCTGTTAGAAAGTATGTTTTTGTGTTGTGGCATGGCACGGACAATAAACAGTTATGACCTCACGGATTTGCAATGCATGGACAGCTTCAAAAGGCAAAATAACATTTGACGACTAATGCCCTATACATGACATTCTTGTCAAAAAAGAGATCCGATCACTTCCAGAGTGTGGAGATCTCACAGCCAGGAATTGAAGCAGCTGCTTCTTTCCCTCCACACATGAGTCAATTTTCGAAATGTGCGACCCAAAAACACAGATATGGCATACACTTATACTCTAGAGTTCGGACGCTGAGGTCATTAACCTCCGCTTTGCTGTCTTTGGACAGCGGCGCCTGCTCCGCCATCACAGCGGTGGACTGGCGGGAGGAGTGTGAGCCGGACGCCCAGACCGAAGCGGGACATGATGCCATGCGGGGCCCGGGTTTGATGTTCAATTGAATGGGTCTTCCCAGCTACTAGCAATGAGAAGCTACTAGGTTGGAGGCCATTGCTATTAGGTTGGATAAGGAGCCAGGATCTCCAACCTTCCCCGCTCGGAGCTACTCCAGCATCCTCCGGCAACCCAACTTCGCCGTGCTTCGGCCGATTCTGCCTCAGGATGGAAGAACCGAACAAAGCTATTGTGTTTTTCACCCGAATATACACCTTTAAAATCCTCAAAACATCTTTAAACAGATTAGCTGGCACCATCCCCAAGAACATCCAATCAGCTTGGAGCATGTTGTAAAGAACTTGTTCCTTGATGATCAAAGTTATTTGGGTGTTTTTGTTGGAAGTATACCTCAAAATTAGCAGAATCTTGCTCCATTTTGGCACTAACAATCCCTGCATCTTCCACCTACCAACCATCGATCTTGAGGCTCCCACATCACGACCTCGCGTCGCAGAGATCGGAGCGGAGACCGGAGGTGTGCGGGGTGCGGAGCGGAGCAGAGACGGTTCGGGTTCGTTGGCCATGTCAGGTTCTTCTTTGAGTCTTTGAGGTTTTTGGACTCACGAAGCTGTTTTTGATTTATTCAATGTTATTCATACTATTTGATACACATAGTCACATAAACCTTTGATACATACATATCCATCCCTCAGATTCCCCCCGGTCCATTTATCGACCATCCACACAGACAGAAGCGGATCTGAAAACATCGGATCAGCAGTGTTTGGAGATCTCATTTGTGAACATCATCTTTCAATGGCCTCCAGCCTAATAGCGATGGCCTCCAACCTATATAATAGCTCATTTGTTTACTTATTAAATGCATCATGTTGCTGTCTACTGATGATTAAACAGATTAAATAAAAGCACTTGTGCATTCATGTTGCTATCTACTGACACCCCCTATGGTCTTTCGCATGTCCTGCTGGTGCGTTTGCAGCGTTCCTGGCTCCGTGGGAAAACGTGTGCCACACCGGACTACGGTGCGCCGCGCCGCGTTCCGGCCATGTCCAGCCCAAAGAAGGTGAGGACCAGATCAATCGAGAAGGGGGAGGAAAAGGGTTGACTCTGGATTCTTGATGATTCTTGTGAAATGATTCAGAGATCAAGAGCCAGAAACACACAGGTTCTACAATGTCATGTTCAGCATGTGCTAAAGCTATGAGAACGATTCTACCCCTGTAATCTATGACTCTAGAAGAATGTGGAAGAATTGGACAGTCAGTCCCTCTCCCAGTTTTTCGCCAAAGCTTTTCGCCTTCCGTGCCGTGGAAGGTTGAGGAATACCAGGATTTTTTGGAGACCTGTCTTGGAGGCGGTGGCGCCAGAACCGGTGGAAACACGGGTGCCGGTGGCCGCCCGGGAACCGGTGAAATCGTTGTTTGAAAGAAGAGAGGACGGTTCTTTGTTGCTTTGGAACTAGCATGAACTAGCATGGGAGCTAGAATTTCAACCATGAGATACCAGGAGTCAAATCTGGGTTGCTTCGAGTCTTCAACATAGATGGCCTTTTACTATTAGTTGGTTGATTGATAGAGAGGATACCCCTGGTCGTGTACCACCAAGTTCGGTAAAAGGTACCTGGCACCGACCCATCGATTCTTGCCAAGTAGGGACACCACTAGAGTCACTAGAGTCTTCGTCCTGGTTAGTCTCAACATGTCTCAACCATAGCGTCCAGCCTCATCGTTCTTGAGTCTAGACCCAGCTCAGTCGCTCTCCTCTTCAGTCGGTCTAGACCCTGCTGACTCTACCTCTACCGATTGGCTGGCAGGTTCAGTGCAGGACACAGAGGCCTATGACAAGAAGGTCTTGGGATTCAAAGGCGACATCTTTGCTGTAAAGGAAGAATCCGAGGAGAAGCCCGGAACTGTTTTTTTTTCATCAATTTGGCCGGGAGAAGTCAGTTGTTGGACACTGTCGACATTTGACGACATTCATGACAGAACGGCAAATATCATCAAAGATCACTGATACTGATATCGTTCTCATGGGTTGATTTTACTTAAAGGGTTTTGGGTTGGTCGAGCAAAAAGAATAATAGAGGAGATACATTGGACTTCCATGTTGAATAGAATTTGCTGATCCACTTGGACACTTACGGCTGATGAACTCTTGTTATAAGAGCAGCATAATATGAGACTACACACTTATATGTATGAATGATGTTGCATCGTCGTGTGAGAACTCATTCCAAGGTGTTGATGCCAAGTTTCTCATGAACTCACCATGCAAATCTCTCACGGTGTGGATGGATAGAGATCGCTCCTGTTCGCATCATATCTTGTCACATCACATCCAGTAAATGAGCACTACTGAGACAAGTGCCTCGGGCAAGTGGACACAACCTGTAATGCAAGTGGAGTGGAGGACTCCAACGGGAGCAACGATGAGAAGGAGGGCAAGACCAAGAAGCCAGACATACATTCAGCGGGGAACATGGTTTGAGTTTTTGTCACACTTCCCAATCAATCCTTTAGAGTTTGGAAGAGTTTGAGTTTTTGTTCCAGGTTTGTTCCATGTGTTCGCAGCTGCTGATGTGTTCCTTTGGTCAGTGTGGCTTTGAGGAAGGAGGCAGAATGCTTTGCCCTGGACGACTCTGACGATGATGGCTCCGGCCTCGACGACGATGATGACGAGTGGGAACTTGAGGCGTCAACCTCTGCCAGGGTTTAAGAATCTACTGCTCCACTTCTAAACAACCAGGTTTAGCCAGGTTTAGAGGAATACCTGTTGTGTATCTAACTGGATCTAACAGGATCTAACTTAACTGGTATCCAAGCTGTATATATACAACATTTGCCATCCCCGAAATGTAACACTCATATGAGCATCCGACCAAACTTCCTTACATGTACTTAGTCATGAGCCGCATTAAGTATTTCTATGCGTTTCTATGTTCAATTGATCACAACCTTGCAAAACATATAGGGGCCAACCCGACAACCGATATCATTCCTTGATTGAAAGTCGCTTATTGTTTGCATTCCAAAACAACCCAGGGTGGCCAGGGTGGCCAACCCAAAATGCTTTTGGCATTGGGACACGAAGAAGTTAGTTTTGTCCGCCGCTCATATGTCAGGTACTTGTAGGGATACACGTGAAGCGGCTTGTTCATTGAGATTTTTGCGGCTGAACCTGGGGATGTTTGAAAGGAATGCGAGCGATCATCGCCAGGATGCATACAACTTTGATCCTGAGAAGGTGGCAGAATTGCTCAAGAAGGGTGGTGAGATTAACGAAGAGCAGCTCGTGGCACCTCCAGCCTGTTTGAAAGAAAATCAAGGGACTCATTGCCGACTCATGGTGTTTTTCATGCGTTGATCCAGGCTCATGAGGATTTAGTGGCAGAATGTTCTCCAGAATTCGAACTGGAATTCCAGCTTCAGAGCCTCAAACAGTTTGGGTAATGTCCAAATGGATGATCTCACCCATCCCATCGACTTGATCTTTCTTCCGTTTCGCGTTATCTCTTCATGTCGTTTACAATCACTGAGAGGGCACCTTTTCACCACACGTCTGGACGTTTCGACCCTCCAGGAGACGCTTCAGGAAGGGATGGCCGAGGCCATGCTGATGCGAATGAACGTCTTTGAAGATCCAGAGCAAGAGGCCTTGCGTCCGAGTCCCAGGACCCGTCGGAGCCGGAGCCGGAGCCCGTAACGTGTAAGATGGCCCGTACGGAGATGGTGAAGGAGATGGAAGCTGGTGAACGTTCTTCTTCCCTCGTTCACCGCTTCGATTCTTTTAAAACTATTCCATGTGAAAAAACGATTACATTCAGAACACTGACATGCAGTGACATGCAGTATGTATCATTTGTAACCCTTACATGAACCCCCTTGGAAACCTTCGTAATACCACCCCCCCCAAAAGAGGGCAGACAAGGACGTTGCTTTTCGCGTTAACCGCGCTCATCCCCTGGCCTCCGACCTTATAACCCGCTGCCATCAGCTGACCACCGCATCCCGTCGCCGAGGCCCCGACTGCCAGGGCGAGGTGGACGGTCGCATGACGCCGCCGCCGCGGCCGGCGGACTTCGAGGCGCAGAGCCCTTTGGAGCCCAAGGCCTTGGCCGAAAAGCTGGACCGGTCAGCGGACACGACAATTGGGTCATGCTCGGTATAGGGAGTGAGGGGAAGTCTTAAAGTAGTGAATACCTGAATCCGTTGCACTTATGGATGATGTGTGTTTCTTTCGATTTTTACAGTCGGCCTTCGGCAAAGTGGTCCATTTATTGCCCAAAGTCGAACAACGAACAGCTGTCATACTGAGTCAGGAAAGAAGGCAACCGGACCAAATCCCACAACCCTTCGACCTGAAGATCGCAAGTAAAAACGACATAGTGTGACATAGTCAAGATTTGTTAAGTATTCGGCAGTCTCTTCATTTGAGGACCATTGAAGAGACCATAGGTCAACGTTCGAGCACCAGTTTTGTCTCGTGTCACTCGTGTCTCCACTATCTTGCCGGGTGTGGACACAGTCACATGATCGGCTTCGCGAAGCTGTTTTATTCTGTGGAAGGTACTGTACCTCTCGAAAAAACGGGAATCCGACTTGTCAGGCCGGACCATTTGCATGTCAGTTCCCTCAAAAACGACGCACATGACGAAGCACCAACTCCAGGACTCGACCCTTTCCGCCGGGCGGCGGCGGAGCTCCATTGGCGGGCGCCGAAACTTGAACGAGGCAGTTCGAACAACCACAGCAAAGACGAGGAGATTCCGTTGGATTTGACATGATTGGAGGATCATATAGGATGCTTGATGCCTTGTTTGTCAGCAAGACTCCAAGACTCAGTGTTCTTGTGTTTGTTGCATGTGTTTTTTCCTCCATGTTGTTCCTTCATGTACAATATGAGTTTTCTGATTTTGTTGGTAGTCAGCAACAGTGCCATTCGTAGCAAAACGTTGTTAGCTACCGCACCCCGGCATTTTCCGGCGGGGAAGAGGTGGTTTTTTGCCGTTTTCGGCCGTTGCGGTTGTGAGGCCGGAAGCGGTCCTGGGAGACCCCCTGGCCCAATGATGGGTCTACGGTAGACTGGTCTATTGCCCTGAATGAAAAAGGGGGGCCGAACTGCCTGGGAGGGAGACCCCTATGTCTCCCTACACACCCAGGCAACTGATCACAGGCGAACCAGACTAGGCGTTGATCTGTTGGATTGTTTTTTGTGTAACGTGGGTGCGGCAGACACAGGAAGAGTATCGCATGCATCGCCTCGTCCAAGCTGGCATCAGCAGATGACAAGGCAGGGGATGGCGTGCTTAGGTTACTGGCCTGGATCCTTATGCTAATCCGCACCACTGCTACTGGGTAAGTGGAAATAGCTCAGCTCTACAGGGCTCTAGCACAATTGTATAAACAAGACAAGTTCGACATTGCCTCCATGTGTGCTGCCAGCCGCCTTGCTACACAGCATGGCACTGGTGCCATGATGTTCCAAACTCCATGCAGCAGGCAGTTTGCCCTTCGG